TTTCGCCTTCGATCCGGAAGGCTTCATCAGTCAAGGAAACACACAACACAAAACTGATGAAGCCTTCCGGATCGAAGGCGAAACGTTTCAGCACAAACAAAAAAGAAAGTGTCCAGATGACCTGACTGAAAAATGTTGGATTGTATACCTGGATTATTGAGCATGGACTTTGTTGTTTTCAACCAGTTTGACATGACTGTCAACAAGGAAGAGGGCCAGCAATGGAGAAGGGGGCATTCCAAAGACACCATCTTAGCACCAACATAACTGGTTTGTTCCACTTTGGAGTAAGCTGTTAGGGGAAGAATCAGTTTTGTGTTGTGTGTTTCCTTGACTGATGAAGCCTTCTGGATGGAAGGTGAAATGTTTCAGCACAAAAAAAAAAGAAACTGTCCAGATGACCTGACTGAAGAATGCTGGATTGTATACCTGGATTATTGAGAATGGACTTTGTTGTTTGTTTGCATTCTACAATAAATGTCAGCCAGTGTTTTGTCGTTTAAGTGCTTTTATGAGAAGCAGCAACAGGAGTTTTCCCTTTGAATCAGCACGAACTGAAGCCACGATGTAAAGAAAAGAAACAAGCAAGACCAGGGAGTTGCATTAGATTACGTACGATTATCAAAACTGCATTAATTGCTGAAACTGCTGAGGTCAGTCAGTGTAGACCTGCAACCATCTTTTGGTCTTGACCCCTCCTGCAGCCTATCCATGAGCTCATCAATAGGTTGAAAAGCATAAAGCTTTTGGCTTCTTTTTTTTTTCTCCGTTAACATTTTTTTCAAGTAGACCTCAGATTAATTAATTGTGATAATTCCTGTTTGTGTCTGCAGGTGAGCACCCTCCGGAGGGAAGTGGCTGACCTCGGGCAAGTCATGAAGAGAATGGCCCAACTCATGGAGACCCTTGTACCCTCAGTGCCACAACCTGCGGTGATCTGTCCAACACATTACTCCCCAGCACACCACACATATTTACGCTGTTGTACCCCTCCTCAGTCTTACTCTTCATTATCTCCCTCTAAGACTGCCCCCATCTGGACAGACCCAACCATGCCTTTGCCATCTTCTTCCTTCACAATCTCGCAGCAGCATGGCACGATCTGCCACGCGGACTCCCTAACGCACAGACCACAGAACCTTCAGTTAAAGCACCCTGCCGTCCTCAGATCAACTCCGCCTCCTGACGTATCGGTCCTTCAACCACAGCCACCGTCTGTCATCTCAGAGCCTCTGATGTCTTTAGCATCATTCAGCGCACCAGATTTTTCTTGCTACAAAAATGGAGCTTCTATCGCCATCACAAGGGTGCACAGTCCACCTCCGCAGGACGGAGGAGATGAGGACTCTCGTAGGAGCTCTGGATTTTCTTCTCAAACTGGGCTTGGAGGGCTCTACCCCAGCCCGACCCTGGGTTTGTAGCAGGTCTTCAGCCGAACATTCCTGGACTCTGCAGGACATTTTCCAGGAGTTTTGTTTTGGCATTTGTTTCCAAACTATGAGACAATTCAGATGAGATACCCAAAATCACTGGAAGGCATTTACAGAGATGCAACTTTCTGTTTGTTTTAAAGGCACGCTTTTAAAAATCCAGCTGCATGAAAACAAGTCTAGAAGGTTTAGGTGTATTAGCTTTACCCTATAAAAACTTAGAGTTGTTAGACCGCATGTAGAAGTTTGGGGACATTTTGGAGCTTAATGGTGATAGCTATGTGGGTACGGCTCACCTTCAACCTCCTACCCTCTCTCCACTTTGAGGTTTTCACAGAACAGAAGTCAGCCATAATGGAGGACATGGCCAAAGCATTAGAGAAGAGAGCTGAGCTCTCCATTTTTTCTGCTACAACTCAGCCCAAGTTGGATGCTCTGGATACTATGAAATATGACTTGATCAAGCTGAAGACATGGGACCTTTTGTGCTCTTTACTACTGGCCCACAGGGAAAGGGGGGTGAAGGATGGAGGAAACTACCTAGGGAGGTGGTGGGGCATGTTGCGCCGTTGGCATCGCAGCCCCTGCTGTCGCCTGTCGCTCTGAGCGCAGGAAATTTTCCTCCCTCTGTTTATCTTTTCCAATGTTTCTGTCCATAAAGTGCTCCGTCCTACCCCCTCTTTCTCTCTGCATGCCTTTTCAAGCCTTTTGAGTAGTGCCTGTAGACACACATTAACATGCTGCATGTCACCCTATGGAGTTCCAGCTTGCCCTTTACCAAACTATTTAAAGAAAACACGATTTAATATTTAAATTGCTGAACCTGGCATTTACTGACAGATATTTATCCACATTGAGCTTTGTTTAAACTGTGGTTATTTTAAGAAAAAAGGTAGTTACCTCCCTTGCAATGTGGCCTGGAGCAAATTTTACCAATATTTTATTTGCATTAGAAGCTATTTCCCCTGATGATCACCCAGGGTTACATGCTATTTTCTCAGAGTGAAGGCAATATCCCCACATAAAAGCACAATAAGAAACAAAGACACTTTTATATTTCTATGAATGTATCAATACTAAGAATTGCTTTTTTTAACCTGAAAGGTTTTAGTGTATTAATGGCCATAAATGATGCAACTAAAGAATATGGCAGTGCTGGTTTCTGGTGTCAGCAAATGCAACCTTTAACCAGTTAAAGGTCACGACTCTAATCCAACAGATCTTCTCTTATCTTATGAACTCCTTTAGGTTTGACTCTCTGCTTCTAAGCAAATGGAATGTACTGTAAACAAAATTTCTTTTGCCTTTTGATATTTATTAGATAAACTGATATGCTAATAAAACAAATATGACTGTTATGTGTTGATTTTTGATGCTCTGTGCACCCAGAAAGGTGTATTAGAGGCCATCGCATCCTTATTTTAAACAAAAAAGACTCACCTTTCTACAATATAGTTTGTGGGAAACAGTGTTAGCATACATTTAAAAAATACTAACTGCAATGACCTATAAATGTGGACCTATCTACACTATCCCAGACTTTCTTTAACCAAGTTGTTGTTGTTTTTTGAAAATCCCATGCCATGCCACAAGGTGGCGAAAACATCCTCATTAACAATATTTTAAATTAGAGAAAGAACAATCTTTGCTTGGCAACAGATTCTCACAAAACCCTGTATTTTAATACCACGCCTAGTTCCTGCAAAGTTATTAGCTATTTCATCACATGTTTGAAGTTTAAAGGTGAAAAGATCAAGAAAAAGTGAAACACACACAGAATTTTTTTAATGTTTAAACTTATCAACTCAATGATTATTTTTATTGTTTATTTTACATATAGTTTATATGAATTTCTATTCAAATTTTATAATAACGGTAAAATCATTTATGCAGTGGTGGGCACAGGTTCGCTAACCCGCTAACAGCTACGAGCAGAAATATTTTTTCTTTTAGAGGATTAGTATTTTCGCTAACTTTGGAAACCATTAGCAGAATTAGCTTTGGCTAAATTAGATTTCACCAACTTTAAGTCCACTAATCAAATTCACAAGTTTGTTTCTGTCTGTTGTGGGCGTGTCCCGAAGAGTCCTTAAAGCACGCTATTGGTTACTTGTACACATGACGAGACGTGAGTGGTCGATGCAGCTTCAACTGGAAGGAGACGAAGACGTGTGACGCAGACTGGGTGACAATCATCTTAGCGGGTTAGCGTTCCACTAAGTTTTTAAAATCTGTTTAGTGGTTTAGAGTTAGTGAAACTAACTTTTGGTTATCCATGCACAGCACTGCTTATGTACATTTAATTGTTCTACATAATTTGCAGTTTACATTCATAGTATTTTTGTCTCTGCAACCACTGAGAGAATTTGGGGCCTGAATCAACATTTAGTTTTCTTATGTGCCATTATTGGAAAACTGTTAGTAGATCATCACAACAGCCTGTTGACATTCAAAAGTATGCATCCAAATTGTATTTTAATGATGGAAAAAACTTGTTATGCACTGAGGAACTTTCCTAAAGAAACACTTAGAGTTGGTGGTCCTGATAGCAGCTCAGTGATAAGATGAGCCGTTGCTCATCTCCATCAAAAGGAGTCAGCCGAGGTGGTTTGACCATCTAATGAAGATATCTCATAATACTACAAGTGTAATATTAAACATTTGGTTATTTTGGAAGATAAAATATCAAGTTATGGTTTGAAAAACCAAGAAAATAAAATTGTGTTAAAGCATTTTTTGTTTCAGTCTTTAATGACGAATCACTGAAGGGGGTCTTTCACCATAAATGCAAACCAAGCTGTCTCATAATTGAACCTTTAATTTGCATGATGCTACAGATTTATAATTAAATATTTTTCACACAACAAGGCTATTGCTTGTTCTGTTTACAAGCTGTAATTTGCATTTGTCTGAGTTATCTGCTGCGTCTAACTATGTTTTTAGCTGCAGCTTTGGTTCGTTTGAACTGAAAGTGTGTGACGTGGTGATGAAACATGACTGTAACATTGGCTCACCTATCGTAGGTCCAGCTGCTCCCGCCAAATGTGTGCCACAGTGTGTTTGTTTTAGAATGCACACAAGGAAAACTTTTGATGTATCATTGTCGTACAATCGAGACTTTCTCGTCCACGCACAAATGAAGTTTGAGCCAAAGCTAAATTTCCAAGAACACTTTCCAAAGTGCAGACATTTAACATTTTGACTTCTGGTGCCACAGCGTAAAGACAAAAATATGAACTTTTCAAGTACAATGATGTAGCAACCTGTTTTGAGCATGCTCAGTATGATTTTGTGGCCTACAAACCAAAATAACAATGAGGCTATTTTTACAATGTTTTCCACATTTCGCCTTATCCTGATTCTGTCATCGATAAAACTCTGTGTGCTAAAATGTTGATGACTGAAAGGAAACTAAACTGGATCTTACCCAACTTCAGTTTTGCACACAAGCAGGAGGGAGAGACACGTGGTCCATCTTTTTTAGCTTGATGATTTTGACATGTATTTTAAGTGGAGGCTCTTGAAAATGGCATGGGTATTTCAGTTTATGTTCAAATCGTCTGAATGGAGAAAAAATATGAAAAAAAACCTATGTATATTCATTTAAAAAATAAAAACAAGGTAGCATAGACAGGGCCTTAACTGTTCAAAGGTTTTAACAGCTGATTTCTAGAGTGTGTTACTAAGAACAGACCTATAAGAGAGCAAAAGAGAGCACATTACACCAGTTTTGGCCTCACTACACTGGCTACCAGTTCACCTTCGAATCCAGTTCAAAATGCTCTTGTATGTCTACAAATCACTCCCCCCCCCATCTTTCTGATTTGATACAACCGTATGTCCCACCACGTTCCCTGAGGTCAGCAGACCAGTTGCTCCTCACAGTTCCAGGAACTCGTCTTAAGCGCAGAGGTGACAGGGCCTTCTCTCTAGCAGGACCAAGACTTTGGAATGAGTTACCTCTGCTTGTCAGACTGGCCCCCTCCCTCTCGGTTTTCAAATCCCGTTTAAAAACTCACTACTATTCAGTAGCTTTCAACACCAGAGGATCTGTGTTTTGAACCTGTACGCTCCACACTGGCTTGTCATATTTATTATCTGCATCGTTTTTATGTCTATATTTTTGATTTACTTCATTTTGTATTTTGCTTCGTGTGTTGTCAGTTGTTCTGTCTGTACAGCACTTTGGTTGGCCTTGTAGCTGTTTTAAGTGCTCTATAAATAAAATGGTATGGTATAAGACGGTTTAGAAGGGACTGTCCAATTCTGGCCCTGGAGGGCCACTATCCTGCATGTTTTATGGTTTCCCTGCTACAACACACCTGGCTCAGTGGTTGAATTACCATATTTTTCACTGCAAAAGTGACTTTTTTTTTTTTGAATAATTTGCATGCATGCGACTTGTATGTTGAAGCAACATATTTATGGATTTTATCCCATATTTATAAACCAATTCTTGGCTGAGATATGACCGTTTTCAATCATTCTGACTGAAAATATTGAACACTACCATTTTCAGCCACTAGATGGCACTCCAGTTGTTTGGCATGCCGTCGTATCATGTAATAGGTAAAACTGGCTATTAATGACACAATCGGTTTGCCACAGTCTTCCACCTTTGTCCAGCTCGCCTGAAGCAAATGTCAGATCAGCTGCATTTTGCTGCACCGCCCCAGCAAAATGCAGCTGATTTGATCATTGAAGTGCATTTATTAAATAAAAGTTCAACTGAGACACACCTTTACTATAATTTCGAGCAAACAAATATTTGTTTTTAAGTGTTAATCTTGTTAAATTCTTGCTAAAGTCCTCCTGTGCAGGCTCCCTCAGTCGCCATTTGGCAGCCAATCGATTTTTGGCACAACACCGGCCCACATTTCCGGGTTTTCAGAGGTGACACATAGTAGATGCGACTTATACGGTGAAGCGACTTATTCATGGATTTTTCCACGTTATTAGACATATTTGGACTGATGCGGCTTA